TCTTCTTCTTCTTCTTCTTCTTCTTCTTCTTCTATTATATAGGTAAAGGTAAAGGGACCCCTGACCATTAGGTCCAGTCGTGACTGACTCTGGTTGCGGTGCTCATCTGGCTTTATTGGCCGAGGGAGCTGGCGTACAGCTTCCGGGTCATGTGGCCAGCATGACTAAGCCACTTCTGGTGAACCAGAGAAGCACGGAAACGCTGTTTACCTTCCCGCCAGAGCGGTACCTATTTATCTACTTGCACTTTGACGTGCTTTCGAACTGCTAGGTTGGCAGGAGCAGGGACTGAGCAATAGGAGCTCACCCCGTCACGGGGATTTGAACCGCCAACCTTCTGATCGACAAGCACTAGGCTCTGTGGTTTAACCCACAGCGCCACCCGCATCCCCTTCTATTATATACCACCCATCAACTGAGGATCACAGGGTGGTTTACAGTATAAAAACACAGAAATGCAAAACATAATAACTAGCAAAGCAATACTTCCCCACCCCACCCCGTTTAAAGGGCCATAGATTGTTTAATAGGCCAAAGGCCTGGAAGAAGATAAATGTTTTCACCTGGCGCCTAAAGATATGTAATGAAGGCATAAATAAAACCAACTCTATGTACTGAGGGCAGCAGTCTTCGTTGATGTTGAGAAACCATGCGGCATTTTGAATCAAGGTGGTATACCGAAGTCACATGACTTCACCCAGTTCTTGGCACGATGGTCCAAACTCACACATTACAGTAGCCATTTTTTAAAAATCACATTTTGAGAGGGACGGTTTCTAAAAATTCCTGGGCAGCGCCAGGCACTTTCGACTAGCAATTGTATATTTCATTGTGACTTGCCCTGACGCCTCTTGATGAAGGGTGAGTAAGAAATCTTATAGGATAAAAATAAAACCACCCCCACTGTTGTCATCATCATCTATGTATACTGCCCTGATTTCCGTGAAGGAAGGAGAGGATAAAAATGTAATACATAAATATTTCTGTCACCCTCTACAAGACAACCAACAGAACTCCCGGTATTCCCCTTCAGTTATCTATTGATCATTTGCCTGATGCTTCATTTATTTTTTAATGTTGAGGAGAACGACCCCTACTAGTGCTGAGGGTTTGAGTTTTACAACGATTTTAAAAGACATGGAATCAAATGTTATTAGCTTTCCATGTCTCCACAGCTACAGATTCAGAAACATATTCCAGTTGCTGGAGGGAATAATTCACAATGAATAATTTATCTGCACCACCTCGCCTGTGATTATTATTATTATTATTTCCTTCTTTGAGAAATCTGTAAATAAAGCAAGGTCTCTGTAAATTTTATCCCTTGTTTTATGTTCATTTATTTCTTTGCTGTTTTTGTTTTATAAACCATTGATGAGATTTTTAAACCACTTTTTTTTGCATAGACAGCCCCAAAGCCACCGAAAGCGATTCATAAAATCAACAAGAAAAGAAAATAAATAAATAAATGAAAGCCAATAAATAAATGAAACAACGGATCGGAAACAAGCACGTTGGCAGAATTGGCTTTAGAAAACACGCACAAGACACAAAATGAATGTCTTCTAACCTGCTTCCTATTTAATGTGTTTTCTATGTTTATATGGGTATGTGTCAAGCGCTGGGGCTTGTGTTGCATTCCTCGAGACTCATTGTCCAAGCCATGCTGGCTAAGTGGGATGCTTTGAATGAGTAACACGTCACTGTCCCTGCAGTTTCACCCAAAGCTTTTCAAAAGCTGCCCATCCTTCAAAAAGTATGCCTTATACAACTGATAACTGGCCCTGAAAATGCGGCAAGGCGAACAGCTCATTACCGTGTTACGAAGCTGTTTTCTGATTGCTGCCATCTTGGTGGAAGCTGCCTTATATTGAGTCAGACCATTGGTCCATCTAGTTCAGTAATGCCAACCAGTGGAGGACTTTGGGCTCTCAGATTTCAATGGTGCCCTGTGTGACACTAAAATTCAGGGGGCCACCCCACTCCACTCTACAGCATTGTTTTGGTGCCCCCTGCAGGACAGTGCCCTGTGCAACCACCCTGGTTGTGCTACCCTAAAACCGCCTCTGTGCCAACTCTGCCTGGCAGCAGCACCTGAGGCTTTCAGGTTATTGTAGTTAAGCCTTATATAAATGCTTTGTTTCAGTTAAAATGGTAAATAAACATAGTGCAGGGTGCCCACACTTAGGAACCTAAGAAGCTGTCTTGTATCGAGTCAGACCACCAGTCCATTTAGCGCAATACTGTCTGCACTGACTGGCAGCCATTTCAGACAGAGGACATTCCCAGCCCTAACTAGTGGAGTCCTTGTTGCAAAAAGGAGGGAGAGAAATCATTTTAAGCCAACAGAAGCGTTGATGAAGCGCTTTATTTTTCCAATAATTGACTAGATTATTAAGCCACAGAGATGGTTATCATTATGTGAAGCACTGTTACTTATTCAAGGGATAGTGACCTGCTTCCTTCTTGGTAGATGTGAGTTAAGAACTCCTGCAAATGACTGTAATACCACCTGAAATGTCACCAGTGTGGTGAGGGCAATTAAGGATTCCATCCCCCTTCTCCCCCCCCCCCCCCACTGTTCATCTGAAGTCTGACAGCTCAGCCAACAGGGCAGCTGGGTGCGGAGAATTCGCTCTGCACTCTCTGACAGTTTTCCCTCCGTGGTGTTCTCTTTCCCTGGCTCCCTTCGTCAGGTAAGAGCCTTTGAATCCAATGCCAGATAACACTTTTGAGAATGAGGAGGAGCTGGCCCCTGGTACAAGCAGCTTATGAAGTCTCATTAAGGAGGGTGGGGAGAAAGTGTCTTTTCCGTGCTGTTCTGTTTGGCTGGCATTATAATGATGCTTTTGCCACAAAGTGCAGAGAAATGTTATTCTAATGAACGCCAGGGAGCCACTTGGCACTCGCCAGTGGGATTAATGAGGCGAAGGCGTTCGTGAAGGCATTGGGACACATTGCGTGGTTCTGGGTGACCTTTGCGTTTGAAGGTTTCTATTGTATGAGAGGCTTAATGGGGAGGGGGAATCACACGGCTTATGCTCACACAGACTTCCACACATATAGAGTTTAACATAAGGAGCTCATCCTGTTGGTTTAGCTTCTGTGATGTCACAGATCTACCAGATATCCTGGGTGTGATTTCTTCCCAGATGGATCTCACCTATGTAGCATAAAAATGACATTGTTACACACACACACACACACACACACGTGTGTGTGTGTGTGTGTGTGTGACACTTTTTCTCCAGACATCCCTTCCAGTCCAAATCCGTCATCAATTTTATTGAAGAAAATCTCCAGTTAAATTGGATTAAAAACTAGCTGGGAATTCTGGCCTGAATTTTCAGTTACCACTTGCTGGTCCTTGCAGGTCCACTGGTCTCAGGCCAGGACATGGCTTTTGAACTGGCTAAAAATGATACAGAACTGTCATGTCATCACCTCTGCTGCATAGGTCAGCAGCTCATTATCCCTGACTGCCATTGGTTTGGCTTCTCTGATGTCACAGAGAACAAATCTTTGTGTTCCCCATAATGTGGCATATAAAAATGGCAAGAACCTTTCCCCCTTTGGGCCAAAGTGGATAAAAATTATAGGCACAGGAGGCTTTCCAGAGTGGATTAAACCTGCCAATTTGCAGACAAGTAGATCTAGGGTTTTGCAGGGGGATTAAGTCAAAGGAATTCACTTTACTCCATGATCATTGATGAGGGGGACAGTGGTGGTTTGCCTCCTGAACTTTCTTACTTTAAAGTAATTAACAGGTGACCAGGTGGTGTGCAATATTGGTTTGTTTTTTGAGAGCTTCTCATTGGCATTTCTTTGTGTCCTCTGATAGGACTTATAATAGGAGGCTGTCTAGAATGCTGCCTGTGGTGTTCTGAAGAGCTCTGAGATGGTGGTTGCTGTGTTGTTTTGCTGTTGCTAAGAATTGCAGTGTCTTTAAAAATAACTTAAAGCTTCTAATATTTGTTTATAAACCTCCATTGTTGTGCTGTAAGGGGGAAAAAAACAATGCAGAGCTTTGACATGCTCTGCAAGCAACATTTTGGACAGCCTCACTTCTTGCAACGCCCATGGAATTATAGAGGTATAGGGAAACAAAGAGCTGTAAAGTATAGAAAAGGCAGAAGCAACAGAGTGATAGAAGACTTTGTGGTTGGGGTCATATCTGACATGGGAAAGTATTGTTACTGCACTTTGACTGAGGAAGGAGGGAAAGCCCCCCAAATTACTGTGATTTGCCTTATTATTCAGTCCCCATGCAGAGTCAAAATACACCCCTTTTAGATAGCTCTCGACTACATGGCATGTCACTGTCTTCTCTCCTTCCAAGATGAATGTCCACCCACGATATATATCAGAGTGTTTAATATTATGTGTTAAGATTTTAAGACTAAAAGGGAAGGGAAGTAGAGTGAGTGAAAGGAGAGCAGAAACCTCTGCATAGGGTCCCAGGCAATGTTTGAAAGACAAAATGAGAGAGGATTGATTAGTTACTTTCTTCACACTAGGTAGTGATCAAAATGATGAACGATCAAAGGAGCTAACTGCAGCAGGGCAGGATGCTGTAAAGGCAAGGCTTCATAGACACACAGCTGTTTTTTCTATGAGCTAAGCGGGTGGGAGGGGGGTAACATCTCAACACATTAGTCTGGCATCTGAGAACGAGAGGAATGGGACAGATGTTAAGAACAGCACTGATTCCATCCTGTAACTCTGAAATGCCACCCTAAATTTCACGCTGAGAAAGACAGAACTGTACTTTTCTCCTAAATGATTCTGGGACCTATGGCATGCAAACTGGATGTTCTGCCACTGAGCTATGGTCCCTACCCTGAAAATAAAACAAGAGTCCATCCCTCACATTTCTGAGCAAAAGTCTGCTTCAAAGACGGGCATAGGAAGTTGCCCATCGGACCTATTGGTCCATCTGCCTCAGGCTTGCCTGCACTGGCTGGCAGTGGCTCTCCAGAATTTCAGGCAGGCTTATCTCCCAGCCCTACTAAGGGTTGGACCTGAGACCTTCTGCATGCAAAGCAGGTGTTCTCCCACTGAGCCATGGCCCTTTCCATGGGGACATTGGGTGTGAGTTCAGTACTATTTTCATTTTAAAGAGCAACTGCTGACAAGTCCTGGGAGCTGAGTGTTTAAGTTGACCTCAATCACAATTCCTTAACAAGTGTTTCTAACCAATCTAACTGGTTTCTTGGACTAGGTGTAATTTCACAATGCAATCCACAACCATTTGGTTCCTCTCCTATTATTTTTTTTGGACTAAAAGGAGAATCTTAATGGTTATGACGCTTTCCAGAAAATCATTGCTACTTTGTAGTGTTGCTGTTGGTGGTGGGTTTTTTTTAAAGGATGACAACTGTCCTTGTTTTCCAGTGAGAACAATCTCAACTTGAACTCCTGGATTTGTTTGGACCTGAAGCACATAAGGAAACCTTGAAAGAAGGCGAATTACAGAAACACTGAGACTCGATAAAAGGTGACCTCCACTCTTTGAGTTCTACGCAATTCTTCCAAGGGTAGAGCAAGAGAGAAACAGAGAGATTTGTCTCCTTCAATAAGGCTCCAAAGAAAGATCACTAATTCATTGGTGGAGAGAGAGAGAAAGCTACAGACAGCAGAATATGTAAAGACAGAATAAATGTGTAGGACCAGCGAAAGCATCCTTCCATTAAAGCAATGGTTCCTAAACTTTTTCAGCCCACCCCCCTTGGTTCCATAAACTCATCCCCAGTGCCCCCCACCCTATGAAAAGCATTATTCAGAATAGTGGTCTGAATGACCCGATAAGGAAGATAATAACACAATAAAATTCAGAAAAATTAATTGCACATTTATTCAAAATCCAATTAAAACTATTTTGTTTAATGAGCTCCACAAAGTTGATGAATTTGATCCAGTGATGCCAGCTTTTCAAAGTCTGATAGTTATTTACACTATCCAGCGCCCCCACCAACATATATATTCTGCCTTTAAGGAGCTGAACGTAGCATACATAGATTTCTTGTACTTGATGCTGGCTTCATTTATGCCGGATAACCTTACTTATTGATTTATTCCATAAAATTTATACACCAGTTGATGGTTAAAAAACAAAACAAAACCTGACAGCGGTTCATAAAAAGATAAAACAATAGAATTACCAGTAAGAAAAATCAGCAAGAATAATTCAAGACTTTCAAAAAGTTAAGATAGCAATAGACTAAAACCAGATTACAACTCTCATCAGCTTTCTAAACATCTGGGTAGGCTTGTCAAAAGAAACATGTTTTTTAGCAGGCACTGAAAAGAGTACAAGGAAGGCAACTGCCTCATGTCAATGGGCAGGGAGTTCCAAAGTGTAGGCTCTGCCACACTAAAAGATCAATTTCTTGCAAATGCAGAGTGGGCATTGTGTGGCATCTGTAGTTCCTCCGATCAAAGTAATCAAGTGGTTGTACATGGGCTAAGGTAACCTCGCCAGCTAATTGTGCATAACATTGCTGCTATTATTATTATTATTATTATTATTATTATTATTTTCAATGTTTCTTGTAAGCCACCTTTGCCTCCTGGCAGATGGTATATAAATCATGGTGATACATAAATTTTATTTTATTTTTATCCTGCTGTTCGGTTAAAAAGTTGCTCACAGACATTAAAATTCAACGCACAGCACTGCTGGCAGTCAGCCGCTGCACATAAATAAAACGAAGACACGAGCCCTGCCCTGAGGCGTACAGATTTCCTCTAAAACAAAAACAAAAACAACTCCCAAACAAGACACACTGGAGTAGTAGAGTAAAAAGGTAAAGGAAGGGATTCAGTTTGATAGGGCAGAACAAAGAGATGAGTTACTAACAGCATTAGCAGCCCCCACTTCCATAGGCGCATAGGATTTTAGTACTTGTGTACAAATCAGGTATGAATGAATGCACACACATGGATAGAAGGCCTATCCAGGCTTTTGGGTAAAGCAGGAAGGGCCAGGAGTGCACACATCCTGACTGAAGGGAGGCTTCTGAACACATTAAAGCCGAATGCACTTTGAACCTCCCTTTAGACCTCTGTGTTCACTGCATGGGGGAGGGTGTGGCGTGTTTTGAACCCCATCTGCACTCTACATTTAAACCAGTATCAGACCCCTTTAAGCAGCCATGGCTTCCTGTAAAAACTCCTGGAAATTGTTTGTTAAAGGTGCTGGAGTTGTTAGGAGAGGGCTGCTGCCCTAACAGAGTTGCAATTCCTAGAGTTCTGTGGGGAAAGGGGGCTGTTTGTCCAAAAACCACTTTGGGAATGGTAGCTCTGGGAGGGAAATTTGTTGTTGTTTAGTCGTTTAGTCGTGTCCGACTCTTCGTGACCCCATGGACCACTGCACACCAGGCACTCCTGTCTTCCACTGCCTCCCGCAGTTTGGTCAGACTCATGCTGGTAGCTTCGAGAACACTGTCCAACCATCTCGTCCTCTGTCGTCCCCTTCTCCTTGTGCCCTCCATCTTTCCCAGCATCAGGGTCTTTCCAGGGAGTCTTCTCTTCTCATGATGTGGCCAAAGTATTGGAGCCTCAGCTTCACGATCTGTCCTTCCAGTGAGCACTCAGGGCTGATTTCCTTAAGAATGGATAGGTTTGATCTTCTTGCAGTCCATGGGACTCTCAAGAGTCTTCTCCAGCACCATAATTTAAAGCATCAATTCTTTGGCGATCAACCTTCTTTATGGCCCAGCTCTCACTTCCATACATCACTACTGGGAAAACCATAGCTTTAACTATACGGACCTTTGTTGGCAACGTGATGTCTCTGCTTTTTAAGATGCTGTCTAGGTTTGTCATTGCTTTCCTCCCAGAAGCAGGCGTCTTTTAATTTCGTGACTGATCATGGAGCCCAAAAAAGTAAAATCTCTCACTGCCTCCATTTCTTCCCCTTCTATTTGCCAGGAGGTGATGGGACCAGTGGCCATGATCATGGGAGGGAAATAGGGGTCTCCTAACAACTCCCAGCACCCTTAACAAGCTACAGTTCCCAGGATTCTTTGGGGGGAGCCATGACTGTTTAGAATGGTATGAGAGCACTTTCAGCGTATGGTGTAAGGAATTCTGTTTCCCCAGCATTTCCTTCCCTGACCCAATAGAAGGCAAATTCCTATGCCCTTATTTAAAGCAGTACTTTGTTCAGAATCATGAGGACTAGAATATTGTTTTATTTTTAGGAGAAGGACCATAGCTCAGCGGCAGAGGATCTGCTTTGCATGCATGGTGAATTACCCAGTTATAGAGATGAGTGAAGGTCCCTGTGCTTAGATGGGACTTGATCATTCCACACTGACCCAGAGAGATGACGTACAAATGCAAAGCCTTGGGCTTTCTTAAATGCTGATGTTAAACACACACACACACACACACACACATGCACCTTGCACCAGCATTACGGGGTGCGAGTGGTTGCACCATCTGGGCTTGCAAGTTTACGGCCTTCACAAGCATCCATCTGCCATCCTCACTCTTTCCCCCTCACACGATATCCCTCTTATTTTTGTTCAAAGGATGCCGATCTATTTTCACAGAACTGCACAATAATTAACAGGGTGTCTCTGAGTTGCTCTGTGAAGCATAGGACCTCCAGGGAAGGGAAGAAAATTACAGTAAGGAAATTAAAATAACTTTGCAGCGCTGAGTTGGTGGGAGCTTTAGGGAAGCCTGCTGTGGCATTTGCTCCCCTCTTGCCTCTGGAGATCCTGAGGGGCAAAGCGACCAAGGGGCAAATGCGGGAGAGGAAAGCTGGAGAAAAGGGTAAAGGGGGGGGGGAAGCCACCATAAAATAAAATCACATAGCTGAATGCTTTACTAGAAGCTGGCATTTCAGCTCTAAATATATACAAAGGGTGGGGGAAGGATTTAGGAACTCAGGGCAATTCAAAGGCAGAATGTGATGCATGTTTGAGGCTTCTTTTCACGCAGTTTCCATGTTACAAGGAAGTGATGGCCAACAAGTTGGATGGCTTCAAAAGATGATTGGACAAATTCATGGAGGAAAAGGCTATCAATGGTTGGTAGCCAGAGGCACCAGCTTCTCCAGAGGGTGGGGGGACGACATGACGTTGCGCGGAACCAGGGGGCAGAGCTGAATGCCTTCTGAAATTTGAGGAGCCAATTAAAATTGGGGTGTGCGTCTTTCATTGCTTCATTCCTGTGCGAGCCAGCTGGGGCTTCCCCCTCCCCAGCTCCTTGTCTCCGTTACCAGCAGCAGTTCCCTCTGCGAGTGCCAGACCAGTACCAGCAGCTATCTCCCCTCCCCCCCCATGTTCTCTGGCACCTTCTTTTCACACGATATACACACGTCTTTTGGTGCTGAGCTCTCACGGGAGCAAGCTGACGTGTGAGAGAGCTCAGCACATAATAATAATAATAATAATAATAATAATAATAATAATAAATAATTTATTATTTATACCCCACCCATCTGGCTGGGTTTCCCCAGCCACTCTGGGCAGCTTCCAACAGAACACTAAACTACAATAACCTATTAAACGTTAAAAGCTTCCCTAAACCAGGGCTGCCTTCAGATGTCTTCTAAAAGTTTGGTAGTTATTTTTCTCTTTGACATCTGGTGGGAGAGCGTTCTACAGGGTGGGTGCCACCCTGGTACCGAGAAGGCCCTCTGGCTAGTTCCCTGTAACTTTGCTTCTCGCAGCGAGGGAACCGCCAGAAGGCCCTCAGCACTGGACCTCAGTGTCCGGGCAGAACGATGGGGGTGGAGACGCTCCTTCAGGTATACTGGGCCGAGGCCGTCTAGGGCTTTAAAGGTCAACACCAGCACTTTGAGTTGTGCTCGGAAACATACGGGGAGCCAATGTAGGTCTTTCAAGACCGGTGTTATATGGTCTCGGCGGCTGCTCCCAGTCACCAGTCTAGCTGCCGCGTTCTGGATTAGTTGTAGTTTCCAGGTCACCTTCAAAGGTAGCCCCACATAGAGCGCATTGCAGTAGTCCAAGCAAGAGATAACAGGACATCTAATCAGAGGCCAGTACAGCTTCTGCAATTCTGGGATGTCCCAGTCAGATTGGAACTGTTAATAGGTATGATCTTGTTGGCCATTGTGATAACAGGATGCTGAACTAAATGGACCTGATCCAGCAGGCTGTTCTTCAATCAGACCAATTGAGTTCAGCAGGCTTCTGAGAAAACATGCTTAGGATTGCTCTTAGAAGCCTTGCTAAATAAAAGTTTTGGCAGGGTATATTGCGGCAATCTGTGTCCTGCCAGGAAAATTAAGAAGGAAGAGACAGCAATAACACATCTTATTCATAGTGAAGACAGAGCTCTGTCTCCTGCTCTCACCCTGCCCAAGCCCCATCTAAGAACCCAAGAACGTTAGGAGAGTCTCCTGGATCAGACCGACTGCCCATCTAGTCCAGCATCCTGTTCTCACAGTGGCCATGCTTCCTTGGACCACAGCTGTCAATGTTTTCCCTTTTTTACGGGAAATTCCCTTATTCCGAATAGGATTCCTCGCAAGAAAAGGGAAACGTTGACAGCTATGCCTTGGACTGTGGAGGGCAGAGGACAGCTGTCATGGCTGGAAACTGTCAAGAGCCCTCTCCTCTATGAATTTGTCTAATCCTCTTTTAAAGCCATCCAAGTATGTGGCCATCATTGCATCCTATGACAGTGAGTTCCACAGTTTAACAATGTGCTGCATGAAGAAGTGCCTTCTGTTATCTGTCCTGAATCTTCTGGCATTCACCTTCATCGGACATCCATGAGTACTAGTGTGGACTCTCGACTTCAAACCTAAATGGAGAGAGCTTAACTCTCCATCAGAAAACTTGTGAGGAAATTGACAGAAATCCACACCGTGGAAGGGCTTCAGCGCAGCAGTGCAATAAAAGGGAATCGCCAGATACAGAAGCTTCGGAACAAAAACACCTCGTAGCTATTATTTTCATCACTCTCTGGCTTATATTCCCCCCCCCCCACCTCTCACCCAGCACTTCAGAGAAATGTCTCCCGTCTCTGGGATATGAGGAATGGGTTAATCAAAATCAATTAACGAAATCCTATTTCTCAAACCTTTCCCTGTGTGGTTTCAAGGTTCTGTGTTTATTGGAGATTTTCTGGCTTTCTTTTCTTCCTTGGTACAGACGCAAACTGAAGTAAGGACTTAAAGGACAAGACGGGGAGAGCACATAAGAAGGGAGGGGGAATGAACTATCTCAGTAGAAAAGGGGAGGACAGAGAGGAGATGGAGCAATCTCTTCTTCAGGCAATTTATGTATGTAAATAAGGCATTTTAATACTGTGTTTCAGGCAAAGATAGAAAAAAATCTCAGAAAGCCATTTACAGAAAATCAGTAAAACGATGGTAATGCTCACTGGTCCAAGATTCCTCCAAACAACTCTTCCATCCCAGGCATAGCAAAAGTGGTACCCTCCAGATATCACTGGAGTACAAGTCTCATCAGCCTCAACCAGCATGACCAATGGTTAGAGATGAGAGGAACTGAAGTCCAACAGCTTCTGGAGGGCACCACATGGACTACTTCTGCTCTACCACTTGAGTCTACTGAGCACCTATGTGTACCAGACGTTGCCAAGTTTTCAGGGCTATTGGAGACATTTGGGCCCCAACTTCACGAAACAGTTAAAGGAGTATGAAGCCACTTCAAATAGGCATGTTTTCCCCCAAAGACTCATGGGAAGTGTAGTTTGTTAAGGGTTCTGAGGTGTTATTAGGTGGCCCCTTTTCTCCTCACAGAGCTACAGCTGCAAGGTTCTTTAACAGCCAATCCTTCTTCCCAGGGAACTCTGGGAAGGGGAATAAGAGTCTCCTAACAACTCTCAGCCTCCTTAATAAACTAATAAACTTAATAAACTACAGCTCCCATAATTCTTTAGGGGGGGCCATGACTGTTTAAAGTGGTACCAAAGTGCTCTAAGGCCTAGGAATGTTGAGAATGGTGGAATCTACACACATATAAAAACTGTTTTGAAAATGCTGGTTTTTTTAAAGCATTTTAAAAAATACATTGAATTTTCCATAAGGCTCACCATCAGCATCTAGTGTCACATTGTATAATTGCACTTAAAACACACTTAAAACATTTTATTTGCAGCTGTAAAACTGAGTCCAAAGTCCTGTAGAGACCAGTCATAAAATGGTTGCCACATCTGAAAGAGTACAGAGAGGAAATGGAAGAAAATGTTTAGGGGTACTCTCATTTTCCGACTCATATTGAAATACTGCCCCTCAATGAGGCCAAGCTTAGATTCACAAAATGTTTAGGGGTATGCGTACCCCTGTGTACCCCCAGAAAAAGCGCTCTCTCTCTCTCTCTCTCTCTCTATATATATAAACATGGCTTGGGGGGGGGCAAACATGCTGCAGGACCCTCCTCTTTCAGGTAAAACCATCCTGCTATTACCAAACTTAAAACCATGGAGAGACCTGGCCTGAATAGAGACACTGGATTCTTATCTCATTATACGTGATAAAGCTATTTTTAGCCATCTCACCCCTTGCTTTTTCCTGTAAGACCAATTGCAGTCGTTAACAGTCATCAACAGGTTTACCACATCTATCAGCCAATCACCCATTCCCACCATCCTTCTGAGTTATACCCCTCCCCACCCTCTCACTATATATCAGGGTCTGGTGACTTCTGTTTCAGTGTATCTGAAGAAGTGTGCATGCACACAAAAGCTCATACCAATAACAAACTTAGTTGATCTCTAAGGTGCTACTGGAAGGAGTGTTTTTATTTTGTTACACTGCCAGAGGCACTATGCCTCTTAACAACAATTGCTGGAAATCACAGGTCAAGAGAGGGCTGAGGGCCTGATTGTGGGCTTCCTATCATAGGCATCTGGTTGGCCAATATGAGAACAGAATGCTGGACTAGATGCACCTTTAGCTTGATGTAATAGGACTTGCAGGGCTTCTTACATTCTTTTCCAGTATCTTTGTCACCAACCCAGAACTGAGCAACTGTTTAGCCTAGATGCCTAGTCAGAATCAGCATGGAATTTTCCATGGAGGTTGTGGACTCTCCTTCACTGGAGGTTTTTAAGCAGAGATTGGATGGCCATCTGTGATGGAGTCTTCATTTGCATTGCACGGGGTTGGACTAGATGACCCTCAGGGGTCCCATCCAACTCTATAATTCTATGAAAGCCTCTGTATAAAGGTACATAGTACTGGAGACTTAGCATGGGTAGAAAAACAGGTATTTGTGGGCACACTGGCACCCACAGACAGAACTCTGGCAAGAACAGTATAGTGTGATGCAGTGGTTAGAGTGTCAGACTAGGACCTAGGAGACCCAGGTTCACATCCCCATTTGGCCATGAAGCTTGCTGGGAGACCTTGGAGTCAGTTTTTGCCTCTCAGCCTAACCTAGCTGAGGTTTCCTTGGAGAAAAAGACAGGATACAAATACGATAAATAAAACAAAATTAATGCTGGAACAAGCTGTGAGTTGGGAGGCAGTGTGTGGGAGAGCCGGCCAGCATCACAGGGTCCTGAACTGAGTAAGGCTTGATGAAATAATTGTACAATTCACTTTGTGGATAAGGTTAGGAAAACAGAACTTATTCTGAATTTTAAACTTTTAAATATCAGATAAAACAACTCAGGCTTAAGCAATGAAGATATAGCCAGCCAAATATGAGAAGCCTGAGATTTCTTCACTCTGTCATTGTGAGGGTCTCTGCAGCATTTGAAATTGGAAATCCTAATACCGCTTTGTATAAAATGTCAAGTGCTAAAGTGGAGGCCAACCACAGACAGAGGTTTGGACCCTTTGTGACACAGAGGGAATACTAATAGTTTACATGCCTGCAGAATGTGCTCTTTGAAATGGCAGCCCCCCTCCCTTTTCAATCACAAATATTGTGTGTGTCAATATTGTGTGTGTGTGTGTGTGTTTGTGTTTGTGTGTGTGTACACCCTCCCTCCCTCCCTCTCTCTTTCTCTCTCTCTCTCTCTCTCTCTCTCACACACACACACACACACACACACACACACACACCCTAGGACATTCCCAGCCAAATAGAAGGACAAACTTCCTAAGAAGCAAATTTGTTGTTGTTCAGTTGTTTAGTCGTGTCCAACTCTTCATGACCCCATGGACCAGAGCACACCAGGCACTCCTGTCTTCCACTAGCTTGCATAAATATAAAGCAGGACTAAACTGAACTGCAGAAGGGGAGCTGGTTGTAATTGTACTTTGTGTGCATTTGATATATTAGGCAGACTGAGCCCATGCCCTTCAAAATTCCATATGTGAAAACAGGGGCTGCATTCACACCAAACATTTTCATACAGACCTCTGGTAGCCTTTGTAATGTTCTCTGGATGTTATTGGACTTGCATCAGCCCCAGTCAGCATGGTCAATGGTTGAGAATAATAGGAAGTGGAGTCCAGCAGCACTTTTAAGGTACCACATCGGCTACCCTGATATGGTACCCAAAGTCTAAGGGCACAGGCTGAATGGGAAGTTGACTCCCTTCCTCAGATGAGACTGAACCTGCTACTATACTGATATACGCAGTTTGCACTTCTCCTTAATTTTACAAGTGATGGATTAAAAGCCTACTTAATCTGGCTTCTAAATGCTTGCATGTTAGAACACCTGCCTTTTCTCCATCCCGCAAATTGCTTTCTTTTGGTAATGAATCCTAATGATCGGTTTGCATCCTGCTTTGTAATACAAAGCCATCCCGATCTATCTTTATTCTCCCTGCTTTGATATATTAGAACTGCTTCCTCCCAGAAGCAATCAAGGTTGATAAAACGCCGCCGCTCAATTCACAAACATAAAGCACGCTTGCGTGCGAGCCAGAGAGGTCCCGTTTCCTATCGTATCAGCAAACCCGAATCAATTGCTGCAACATCACCATGAATTGACATTGTCAGGAAATCCATGTTGGCATTCAAGGGTTTTTTCAGAATGAACTCCCTGATTTAACAGCATTCAGAGCCAAATGGAGACATCCATACCGTCAGTAGCTGTGGAGTTCAAAACAGGAGTGATGGAGGTCATGGGCTGGAGTACTCATTGTCCTGGCCCTCACTGCTGGATGAAAAACTCAAACTCTCAGTTCTGTTAATGCCTGTAAGGCTATGGTGCATAAATCAGATTGGCACATAGGCCAGGCATGGGTTACAAGGGGCAGCAGGTACATAAGAGCTAAGTGCAAGCTAAGACATTGATCCAGCAAGTGACATGCCCCCTGGACACTCAGTTTGCTTGGTCCCTCTGCTGAGTCCAGTTCTCCACTCCCCAGACAACTGGTCTTCTTCCCTGGTCTCAGACACTCCTTGGAATCCCAATTTTACCTAGGACATTCCCTTGAGTCATCCAGCTCCAATTCCCCAAGCTTCCCCCATTTCTCCTTGGGAGAATGACCATTTCCTCCATGACATCTCTATGGGACTTATGACCCTAGTGGCCCTTTAGATATTTCTGGACCACGTTGCCCACAAACCCTGACTCTTTGCCATGCTGGCAGGGCCAGGTGTGAGTTACTCATTTATTGTTTATTTATTGCCCACCCTTTACCCTAAGGTCCCAGGGAGGGTTACAACATTAAAGCACAAAGTTAAGAACATTTGAACACAACTTACAATCATAAAAGTAAGGTGGGTACTCAAAACATGCACCTCAAGTGTCAAAAGTCGAAGAAGAGCATCTTCAGCGTCCTCCAGCAGCTCTATAATGAATGTGCCAGACACCCCACTGTGGGGAAGGAGTTCCACAGCTTAGGTGATCCTGCATCCTTGTCAGATGCAACTTGCCAAGTGGGGCAGAACTACTACACTAGCTTCCCGGCAGGTGGATTGCTGCTGGTTACCATCAGGGAAAGGGGCAAGGCGATGGAAAGGCTAGTGTGGTGCAAGTGCACTGGCAGGAACACAGGATTAGCCATGCTCATGTGTTTGCACTGCAACAACCTCCCTGCCATCTCTCCCTCCCAGGAAGCAACTGCAACCCATCTGCTGGGAAGGTGGCATAGCAACTCTGCTCCACCCAGCAAGCCATTCTGATCCCTGGTTGTTCTTTGTTTGTGACCCCTGGCTTGTTCTTTAGCTAGGATTTATTCTTCAGTGCTGCTTACCAGTTTGCTCCCAAGTCCTGCTTCCTGGTTCATCCTACAGTTCTCACAAGGGATGTCTAAAATCTGTCCATTTCAGTTTCTCATCCTCCTCACCACCACTCTTAGGTTCAATTCTCCATATTTCCATGTTGGTGTGCAATTTTATTTGATTTTTTTAAAAAAATAAGTCCTCATGAAAACTCAGCAACCTTTTAGTGTTAATTTATCCTTATGTGCACATCTTTCTGCACAATTTTACCTAATATACACATTTTTGCAAAGTTATTTCCCCTTATACAATGCATTTCCCTATGCCATTTCCACTAAGGTGTGTGTGTGTGTGTGTGTGTTTATACATGTCACATTACTTGGCTGGAGAACTACATTGCAAAATTCAGGAAAATGTGAATTTCCAAGGATGACCATTTTTTGTTGGCGTATTGTTTCAGCAAGTGTGAATAAGTTCACCTGTCAATGTGACCTGGATCAAATTTCTGCCCAACTTGTACTTCTGACTTATTCTCTCATCCTGACCACTAGCTTGTTTTAGTGGCTCCTGCTTTTACTTGCTTGTTTGTTTATTATTCCATTGTATCCCACCTTTTTGCCAAAGTGGTGTAAATGCTTCTCCCCCTCCCCATTTTATCCTCACAGCCTGAGAGAGAGGTCAGGCTGAGAAACTGTGACTTGCCCAAGGTCACCCAACCAGGTTAGTGGCTTGGGGATTTGAACCCTGGTCTCCCAGGTCCTAATCCAACACTGACCACTGCACATTGGACCATGGCCTACAGCCCATCCCTGGCACTAGTTCATTGCTACTGCCTGTCCTAAAAGCTCCTGAATGCACTATTCTGGTCAATTTGCTGCTGAGGGAGGCCACCAGGCTTATTCTCTGCATTGCCAGGCTATCATTTTCTGCAGCCAATGGGCCCTTGCCATTCATCGATCCATTATTAATTTGCTTACACAAAGAGCAGTGAAGACACAAATAAAATATTTTTTTTTATTTTTTGGGCAAAAAGAACAGGCTATCACATTACCCTCGCACAGCGATATGCTATATAAGTGCGTCTCAGTGGGGATTTGAACCAGAGAAACACAAAATGTAAAATCAATGGCTTCTAGCAAAGAATTACCATCATGCGCTGGAGCTAAATTGCCACATTTTAAGAACACTATAGTAGATGAACTGCACAAATGACTATAGCCACGAGGCAGTGGAGGTTTGGGATCAGTTTCCCTTCTCCTAGATGGGCTACATTCAAAGGCTGATGAGCCCTATGTGCCTCTCACTTCCCTCTACAGCACGTGCAGAAACAGCCTTCTTGATAATTGTACTCACTATTGCTTTTGTCTGCTCAATCCACCAGAGCCTGTCTTCACATGCAGGGGAAGTCACTAACTCACTGAGGGTTTTAGACCCATTGGCTACTCTCACCTGGTTTAGCTGGCCAGTGAAAGCCATTTCCCAGGGTGTAGCTGCTGCTGTGTACTGGCCACTTCTCGGAGCCACAGGTGAGAACTGAGAAGAAGAAGAAGAAGAAGAAGAAGAAGAAGAAGAAGAAGAAGAAGAAGAAGAGTTTGGATTTGATATCCCGCCTTTCACTCCCTTTAAGGAGTCTCAAAGCGGCTAACATTCTCCTTTCCCTTCCTCCCCCACAACAAACCCTCTGTGAGGTGAGTGGGGCTGAGAAACTTCAAAGAAGTGTGACTGGCCCAAGGTCACCCAGCAGCTGCATGTGGAGGAGCGGAGACGCGAACCTGGTTCCCCAGATTACGAGACTACCGCTCTTAACCACTATACCACACTGGCTCTCGGGTGAGAACCAAAGGTGGACAAACTATCCCAGAACAACACATCCCCCCTCCCCGAGGTACTGCAGAGGGAAGATATGAAGTTGAACAGAGGATAACTGATGGGTTGAGATTAGACATTTTGTGTGTGTGTGTTTGTGTTTGTGTTTGTGTGTGTGTGTGTGTGTGTGTGTGTGTGTGTGTGTGTGTTACTGTGATTGTGTTTCTAACTGTTTCTAACGTTGCACTTTAATTGCTGTAATCCATCTTTGGACCTTAGGATGAAGGGAAAGTGAAGAAGAAGAAGAAGAAGAAGAAGAAGAAGAAGAAGAAGAAGAAGAAGACCCAAATCACCACTGAGAACGAGCTTGGGTTGGGTTTTGAGCTGAGACTTATTGCAATCTTCCAGAAGGCAGAATCAATTTTATCTTTACAGAGGTACTATTGAAAACTATTTTGGAGATGTATGCCATGTATGTATGTAAGGATCATGGAACCATCCAAGGCCTACATTGATTTTGTTCCAGAGCCTTAAAACACGCACACAGCCATGAAAGAAGTGTGTGACTTTCAAGGGAATTTGCTAATGATATGCATCCTAAACCTTGGGGAATCAGGATGAAGGTCAACACAGCATAACTGTCTGATTGACATTTTCAGTAGGTACCGGCAAACTGGAGGATGAATTAAATTACATATTATGCAAGTGTAGCAAAACACCTTCATTGCCAGCCTTTTGATTGAATTGTAGAAGACCATCCTTTCAGCCTTAATAAGGAGAGCCATTGTGTTCAGAGCCTCCATGAAATGTTCATCATGGAGGAGATGTCAAAATGTTCAGGTTGGTCATTCCACCAGAGGCATGAAAAACAGGGAGTGCCAATAAATTAAATTAATAAATACTGGTGGATCAGGATCTAGTCCAGCATCAACTTCTCACAGAGGCCAACCTGCTGGCTTTGGGAAGCCCACAAGATGGACTCATTTGACTCTGGTTCCTTATGTGTCTCTAATTTCATATCCTTTTGTTGATATTATTCATTTTATCTGGAATTTTATTTTTGTGTGTTGCGAAAGAAGGACAGGGTGTGCAAATGATCACAATCCAGAAGGAAATGAAAACTAATAAGGGCTGTATCCAATGCAGCACTAAGTTAATACGTCCCATCAGTTGAAGGATTTTCATCTGCGCTGTGTCACTTCCTTCCTCTCTCCTCCCTGCTTTGTGCCTCTTAAACTAGTTCTAGTGGTCCCCCCTATTGTTTCAGAGGTTTCCCAACCTGTAGTAGATTTTGGGAGGATGCAGTGCAAACACGGAGTGAAGAAAGGAAGGGTGAGCCATTGCACAAACGTAAATTCTTGTGCTGGCAGGATGCGTGAGTTGAATACCACCCTAAAGCTTTTATTTTTAGAGCAAACGAAAAAGAGAGTATCCGATGTTCAATCTCAATAACTATTTTGGTGTTGCCAACACAGGACATTTTTGATGCAAAGATAGATAATTTTGTATGCATATAATATAGCAACTCATTTCATTGTTTAAAGAAGGCGTGGCCACAATGGTGCACCCTGGGTGTTGTTGGGCTCCCATCAGTCTTAACTAGTATGGTCAATGGGAAGGAAATATGGGATATGGAGTCCGACAACTTCTGAATGCCACCAGGTTGGGTATCCCTAGTTTATAGCATTAGTCGCCCACTGTGTCTACTCACTGAGCTGAACAGAAATGTAGATGGCCTTGAGACATAACCAGATGAGGTTTAAAATATGAAGTAGGGCAGATGCCCCATGTGTTGCCATCAATCGCATTTTATGATGGCTTTTCTCCTGTGCGAAGCAAGCAACTTAAAGGAAACAAGGCATTTCTTTATAAGCTGTTCCTTTGAACAACAACCAGAATAATCACAAGGAACATGAGGACATGGATGGCTGGGTGAGCCAACTATAAATCTAGCAGTGAAATGTGGCAAAACGATGCATTAACTGATGTCTTCATCGTTAACGTGCTTAAAATTCTGCTGCAATAGGTAGTGAAAATCATCTGCTCTTCACCATCTGGCACTTGCTCTAGGATCTAAAAAATGCATCCTAACAGGAAGTGATATACAGTTGCTAGACAATGGCAGTGATCCCTGTTTGAGGGTGAGATATTTGGTAGCGTAACTGTTATGGCTTTGGTGGAAATTAGAGAGGGAGGAGAAATTCAATTCAGTTCTTATTTAAAGGCAAACCTATCTAGGGTGGTGTTCAACTAAGCTTTACTCAAAGAGGACCCATTGAAATGAACAAACCTGACTGAGATACAGCCACTCATTTCAGCTGGCAGGGGCATCCAATGAAATTTGCACTTCTCTGAGTTTTGTGGTGCAGTTCTCTGGCCAAGCAATGTGTACAAAAATGGTGGATCAATGTTTCTCTGCTCGTATGTATTGCTTCCCTTCCACTGGGACTACTGATCATGTAGAGGTCACAGTTTTGTGAAAGCCTACTCTTGTGTAGGCTTCTTCGTGTGCAGGTACCCCTACTAACATGTAGATATGCATGGGCAGGGCCAATGGCATGCCTGACAACAGGTTGACAGCATACCCCACCCCACCCCTGGGTAATTGTGTGAATAATTCACATCTTAAGGCTACCTAAAGGACCAGTGAAGTCCATTCAGAGACAAGAAGAGAGGACAATGCAAACAAATAAAGAATCCATCCTTGCCCTCAGTGGCAAAAAGGAAGTTTTTGATGCTGCTGAAAATGTTCCCAAGAAACAGGGCCCACTTTGAGCACCATCTCCCAAAATTTTGAGGGGGTCTCAGATAGGCCCCACGAACTATGAAATCTAGTCTTCCTTTAGTCTTCTCCGATGCACCACACAGTGCTGAGAAGGCAAGTGAGCCCATTGTTCAGCTCAGAGGCCCAGCAACTTTCTGACCTTGCCACACTATAATCCCATATCTAAATCAATCTCATTCCACCTGCAAAAGGAACCTTTTATTTATTTTACTTCCTCCTTCTTTATCATTATCATACCACGTGTGCCCAACTCCAGTGTTTTATCTCCAGTGGTTTCCCAAAAGCAACTCTACATTTCTTTCTTGCTGATTAGATTTGTTGCACTTCTCTCCCAATCCTTTTTTCTTTTAACTACTTTAGTTCTCTGCAGTGAAATAAAATCTATAAATTCCATCTTCCAGGCAGCGGGGGGAGGTAGGGAATCCATTCCCAACTGCTATCCTCCAGCGTTATTCTCACATTTTGTATTCTTGCAAAAAAAGGAAAGAAAAGAAAAAAAGAAACCACGCTCTGCTCTGACCTCCTTGCCTCTCTCTGGATGCCAGCACGAGTTACATGTGGCGTGCCTTTCTCTTTAAAGAAGATATATCAAACTCCCAGCTTCCCGAGTGTCCCTTCCTTGGCCACTGGTAACCAAGGAAACCAGATACTATGGTAACTAAGGGATGAAAAACAAGACATTCAATATTCCTTAATCTCCACCCTGGGTTGAAAGTCCTCATCTCTTACTTTCCCCAGGTGCTAAAGCATCAACAATAAAATTTGTAGCTTCGAGGGCCTCATCTTGATTCATGCAGGGTACTTAACTAGGTAAATGTTGGGCTTCTATTTTTCTAAATCTCCAAGGGATCCGCTCTCTGCCTGGCCATTTGGGGCTTAAGATGTGCAGACTTTCAGAACAAAAGAGAAAGAAGGGAGTGGACCGGGAGTTGCTTATAGCTTGCAGTAGGGCACTGGAGTTGAGTTTAGAAGCTCAGGAGGGCAATATGGTCTATGAATCTCTTCGTGGGGGTGGTTTGATGGGGATAGAATGGAGGAAACTGATAAACTTTTCTCCTTTAACACTAGAACTCCTGGACCTCCAATGAAGCTGGATGTTGGAAAATTCAGGACAAATGAAGCCTATGTGCTTCTTCATGTAGAACATAGTTAAACTATAGAACTCATTCCCACAGGAGGCAGTGATGGCCACCAACTTGTATGACTTTCAGAGATGATTGGATAAGGTCTTTGAGGAGGAAGCTAGCCACAATGACTATGCTCTGCTTCCACAGCTGGAGGCAGTATGCTTCTGAATACCACAGTACCGAAGGCCTATCTCAAGAGTGGGGAACATGTGGCCCTTCAGATGTGGTTAGACTGGAACTCCCATCAGTCCCAGCCAACTGTCAGGGGCTGGACTGAGGAGGAATGGGAGCCGCCGCCCCCCCTCTCCTGAGCCTTCCCAAGGACAGGAGGACAGTATTGATTTAGAACAGTGCTTTGCAGAGGGACATAGTCAAGCTAGGAAATACTGGGTGAGGAACATCTAGAAGATGACACAGGAGGGCACAGGAGAGAGAGACAGCTGGCAGATTCAGTGTCCTTGGACAGCACTCCTGACCCCACCCCCCTCACCTAGGACTAGGCAGGCTCTGAGAGTGATAGAACAGAAAGCGCATAGGTTACCTGACGCAGGAGTCACATAGATTAAGGGGGACGGAGGGGGGTGAACATTAACTGGGAGCAACACCACTTTTATAGGGATATGCATTCCTTTGTCTTTCGCTGTGATTATTAAAGAAACTCTGGTAAGAGCACTCCTTTCGTTTGATCTTCTTAATCACTGCCACTGGGGGAGGGATCCAATTCCCCAAAGCCTGACACCAAAAATGGCCAATGCTCAGGAATGATGGGAATTGTAGTCCAGCAACATTGGAGAATCAGAGGTTCACCTAGTCCAACATCCTGTTCCCCACAATGGCCAACCAGAGGCCAATTGGAAGCCTATAAACAAGACATAAGGGGAAGTGAACTTCTCTCACTTCTATTCCCCAGCAATTGTTGTTCAGAAGCATGTCAGAGGTAACAATGAGCCATTCTAACTAGTAGCCGTTGATAGTGAATTGCATAGTTTAACAAAGGGTGCCAGCAATCATCTGGAGATTCTTGTATTGAAAACATATTTCTTTTCTTTTCTTTTCTATGAGGCTGAGATTAGCCAAAGTGGATACAATTTAGCAGCAATTGAGAGGATAAAGTTTCTGATTTGGCAGTCAGCAAACATAACACTCCCCCGCCACCGCCACCGCCCCCCCCCAATACATACACATAATCCAAGTTTAAAATGAACATTGTGAGACCTCACTGGTGAAGACTTAGCAAGAGCCCACGGAAGAAGTTAATCAAAAATAAAATGTCAATGCACACAGCATAAAACCTCCTTTGTCTGTAGCTTAAGAGATTTTGCAGAGGTGGTCCTGCTTAAAAAAAATAGTAACCACAAAGAATTTGAAGATTCCGATAAGAAAATACATTAGCAGGCACTTTTGTTTTCTGAAGTGAAAAGGAAGCTTTGAGTTTGCACCACTCAGTTGGCGTCACTCTTCCAGGGAAGGATGCAGAAGTTCAACCGTAATATTTCCAAACAATGGAAGGCAAAAAAAGGAGCACTTATTAGACT